GCTTCCACTAAAGGTGCCATATCTCAAAATGTATCTATTGATCCAGAACCATATAGCTGAACCTCTGCCTGCTTACTGTGCACAATGGAATATGGAGCTTCAAGCGGAAATTTCTGCTGAGGAATGGGGGTCTATGCGGCAAGGAGTTTCCGGATGCTCTCGTAACATACCGGCATTAGAGAATTCCTTGAAAGTAATTTCCAGATGGTATTTACCCCATCCCGACTAGCTAAATGTATACTTGATTATAACTGCCAGTGTTTTTGTGGCTGCTCTCTAGAGGGTACGATGCTCCACATTTGGTGGACCTGTGCAGTGGCCCATCACATGTGGACTAGAGTTTATAATCTCATTTATTCAGTTACGTCCGTTAACCTTAAAAAAGGATCCTATTGAGGTCTTACATTTTAACCTCATGGACTGCGCTCACTGGTCACTTTTTTCTTTAGGACTACTAAACAGACTATTGCCGGTACTTGGAAATCCTCTACAATTTGAGGAGGTCAGGTCCACAATCCAAGGTTTCTTTATCAACGAAAAATTGACGGTGGTATTGGAAGATAAACATAAGTTTCTGTTTGGCAACCATGGTGGATTATCAACCAGTTTCTCATTTTACTACTAAATTTACTAATCAATGATGTGTTGGGTTTAGCCTCTCCTCTCCCCTTATGTGGGTATCGTGTCTCCCAGCTCTCCCCCCCCCCCCCGGTGAACTCCTCCTTATTGCTGGTCTGTTTCTCTCTCTCTCTGTGCTCCTTTCCTTTTGTTTTCCCTGTTTGATTCTTTTTTTTTTTTCTTTTTCTCTTTTTTTTTGTATGGTTTGTTTAAATTAGACAGATTGTCTGCCATTTATTTTGGTTGTCTTACAAGTCTGATTGTCAGGGACAACATTGCCTTATGAAAGCGTTGCTCTCTATGCGTTTTCTTTTTCTATATGTAACTTTTATATTTGTGAAAGTGGTTGTGGGCAGCCCTTTGCCTTCCATAGTGTTATCGAGACCCCTGCGTGGGTCTTGTATGGGTATCTCTGTGCTTGCCGTGTGTTGTTGCCCTATCTTTGTTTGTTGTTGCTCTGTACCATATGATTTGTCATGGTTTGTATGTTTCTTTTGACATGCCTAATACAATCTTTGGTAAAAGACAAATTGCTGATAATGCTCCCAGAGTTACCTAGTACTGGGGCATAATTATACTGGGGCATCCTAGTGATATTCGTCAGTGGTGTAAAATACTCAGCTGGCTGCCAAACACGTGGTTTCTGGGGATATTCTATAGGCAGTTGAATTCTGCTTGACGCATGAATATTTCTCTGGTAGAACGAGCTTTGGTTCCATGTATAGGAGGAAGACTTCTCTCCTTTGTATGATAACTGAATATTCTTCACAAGTTAGAAAGCTACAGAATGTGAAGAAGTTGTCTGACCAAGCTGTAAAAACAGTGCAAAGAAGGAATGACAAAATCTATTCAAGCAGAAAGTAATGCTCAAAAGAGTGATGGAGCAATCCACAACTAACAAATGGGGCAAATTAGAATACTCTCCAGTGAAAGAAGAAAAAATAGTCATGATCGAAAGTAGGGATGCACCTATACCATTTTTTTTTTTTTTTTTTTTTAAAAGGAGTACATGTAATGATACTTTTTCTCAAGTACTCATCAGTACCAATTACCTATACCAATTTTACTGTCATGTGACAGTTTTTTTTAAGACCAATAAATAATTAGACTTATGAATAACTAAATCAAAAAAGACTTTACCCTGGGGATTTAGTGATAGTCCAGCAGTGTATGAATTTATATATTTATTTACAAATTAAATATTAAATGTAGGGGGTGTGGTCAAGATGGCAACCTGAGCAGACGTGAGTGACCGAAGCTCTACACAAGCCTGTTGCATTTATCCGGTTTTTATAGGGATCTCTGGGTGACAGGGTATATACACCTCAGCATCTCAGGGCATGACCAGAGGTTGCTTTGGGACTAGACATAAGCGGATCTCAGCCTCTAAACTGTCATGGTCTGTGAAGGGAAAGGCGCCTTGGGACTTCCTAACATGGCTACCCAGACTGAGGCAGGGGACCCCGCAGAGTTGAAGCCCGATCAATTTACTGCCCTTATGCAAGCCATCTTGGTCTGTCAGACCAAGCTCACGGCTAAGATAGACCTTTTGCAGACTGACATTGGGCTGATTAGGACAGACATTGGCTTACTGAGGTAGAGAGGCACATTGGCAACTCAGAAGACTCCGTTCGGGAACACCATGCCTCCCTACATAACCTCAAAGTCAAGGTGAAATCCCTGGAATCCCTTGCGGAAGACATGGAGAACAGGAACTGCCGGAATAACCTTCAGGTAGTCGGGCTGCCGCAGGGTGCGGACGGCCAAGATCCTGTGGCCTTCATGGAGTGCTTACTGCGCATGCTCCTCCCTCAGGCACCATTTTCTCCCTTTTTTGCGGTAGAGCGAGCTCATAGGATGCCACCAGCGATGGGCCCGCCAGGTGCTCCACCACACACCTTCATCCTTTGCCTCCTCAACTTCCGGGATAGAGACATGGTGCTGCTGGAGACGCAGAAATTTAAGGCGCTGCATTATGAGAATGTTAAGCTTATGCTCCCCCTCGATTACTCGGTGGAAACGCAGAGGCTCTGGAGGACCTTCAACCCAAATTCACACTCGAGGTTTAAAGTACATTATGCTATTCCCGGCTTGCCTCCTTGTGGAGGATGCTACCCGGGGATCATCTCTGGACTAGACTCTACCCCTGGACCTGCTACAGATGTTCCCTCCTGACCTATTACTGAGGATCCTGCCTGCTTATCTGTTGTGCCAGATCCTGCTAGTCTCTTGTGCCCATACGAGCCTCCAAGCAGCTGATGAGGTTACCTATCCATGGGAAAGATCTATGAACATTTTCTGCAACCTCCTGTTAGCTGGGTATTGAAGGTATTGAATCCCTCCTGGATTTGAGAAGAGGGCAGCCCCTAAGTACATACGTTTGTGCCCTTAGTCAACACTCAGACTAAGTGTTTTCTCCTTGGCCTTTATAGTGGATTCCATTATCCTACAGGCTGTTTACTGGACTGTCTGCAGACTGAATTGGTCACACAAAAGTTATCTGTATTCATCTTCACTATCTTCTATGTATTTCCCCCCCCCCCCCCCCCAATAGGGATTGTTTCTATTGTTTGGATTCAGGTATTAAGCACTCCAAGTTTCCCAATGGAGATGCCAGGAGAGTCTGGGTTGGGTTTTGTTCATTTCTGTTTTTTTGTTGGGGAATGTTCTTAGCAGTGGTTTTCAACTTCAACAGCAGGGTTTTTTTTTTTTTTAATTTCTGTACATGGGTACTGGGTTGCGGGCGGGATTCATCTCTGTATGTCTATTGTGCTGGGAGCGTACCTTCCCCTGGGCCTTTGGAACCATTTCTATCCTGTTAGATTTATAGGTTACTCTTTCTCATGACTTCCATAAGATTTATCTCCTGGAATGTACGGGGGTTGAAAGCAAAAATCAAGAAGTACAACCCTCATATGTGTATACTTCAGGAAACTCACTTAGTGGGCAGTAAAGTTTTGAGCTTAAAGAAACCCTGGGTGAGCCATTATTGCCATGCAGCTTTTTCAGCATATGTCCTTTAATTATACCCTGTTGAATCTTAAATCAGATCACGAGGGAAGGTATGTGCTGGTACATGCAGTCATTGATGCAATTGGCATGCTTATTTTAGGCCTATATGTGCACCCGCTGGTCATGGCATTATATCTACATACCTTGACTACCCTTTTATCTGGTTATACTACTGATAATATTATAATTGCAGGGCATTTCAACGTGTTGCCAAATCCATCTTTAAATAAGCTTACTCCTGATGCTGCTGTGGACTCCCCACTAAGTGGGTGTCTCTCTATGGATTATACACTGTTCCAAAAAATTAAACACTTTTTTAAAATCAGAGTATAGCATCAAGTCAATTAAACTCCTGGGATATTGATTTTGTCCGTTAAGTAAGTTCCAGCTGCTTTGGTGTTAATGAAATTAACAAGTGCACTAGAGGAGCAACAGTGGGCTGACCCCCAAAACAGGAATGGTTTTACAGGTGGAGCCACTGACATTTTTTTCACTACTCACCTTTTCGGTTTTTTACTAGTTTTGCATGGAGACGATACCTGGATCCTACACAGGCAGTCCAACTCCTCCAGGATGGCACATCAATACGTGCCATTACCAGAAGGTTTGTGGTGTCTCCCAGCACAGTCTCAAGAGCATGGAGGAGATTCCAGGAGACAGACAGTTACTCTAGGGGAGCTGGACAGGGCCGTAGGTCCTTAACCCATCAGGACTGTATCTGCTCCTTTGTGCAAGGAGGAACAGGATGAGCACTGCCAGAGCCCTACAAAATTACCTCCAGCAGGCCACTGGTGTGAATGTCTCTGACCAAACCATCAGAAAAAAGACATCATGAGAGTAGTCTGAGGGCCCGACGTCCTCTAGTGGGCCCTGTGCTCACTGCCCGGCACCATAGAGCCCAATTGGCATTTGCCATTGAACACCAGAATTGGCAGGTCTGCCACTGGCACATTGTGCTTTGCACAGATGAGAGCAGGTTCACCCTGAGCATATGTGACAGACGTGAAAGGGTCGTGGAAAACGTTATGCTGCCTGTAACGTCGTTCAGCATGATCGTTTTGGTGGTGGGTCAGTGATGGCCTGGGGAGACATAACCATAGACGGATGCACAAATCTCTACAGGCTAGACAATGGCACCCAGGGCCAATTAAATGAATTAACGCGCAAGAGCTTGATGTGTCTAAACGAGTCTAGAAGTGTTCACATGTCAAGCATTTTTTCTGTCAAAGCACTGTTGCCAGGAAAGGCATTTAGGAGAGTTGGGCAAACATCTACATGCACGATGCCTTAACTAGACTCCCATAAATCCATTACCTTGTTCATAAAATGAAAAGTAACAGGAAAAATTCAGGCATCCAGAATGAACTCACCTGTGCCCCGTTAGAGCAAGTCAGAGAGATCTCTACAATGAAAACCACTTCAGACGATATAACTGCATCAGAGGTAGTATAGTAGGACGGGACAATGGAAGGTTCTGTGCAAGTTTCACCTGAAAATAAACATAGAAAACTGTAAAGTAGGTTAGAATAGGCCTAGTCAAACCTCACCCGGAATTAGAAGCCAGCTTTAAAACGCTAAAAGCTAGCACAACTTGTATATGACTACTTGTATATATTGTCCTCTATCCCACTGAAGCCAGCGATGGGACCTGATCATGTGACCGGACTAGAGCAGCCTCAGAATAGGTAAGAATAGACTTCTTTCCTTGTTAGACTGGGGAGGTGGAAATGCATTACAGTATATTGTGGTGTGCTTAAATGAAGATGTGTTGCAGGTGTCATTCAAAATGGGTTTATTGTAGTGTTAAACCCTAAACCAAACTTCAATATACAGTCAGGTCCATAAATATTGGGACATTGACATAATTCTAACATTTTTGGCTCTATACACCACCACAATAGATTTGAAATGAAACTAACAAGATGTGCTTTAACTGCAGACTGTCAGCTTTAATTTGAGGGTATTTACCCTCAAATTAATAGCAATTAGGTGAACGGTGTAGGAATTACAACAGTTTGCATATGTGCCTACATATGCCTTAACCACTTGTTAAGGGACCAAAAGTAATGGGACAATTGGCTTCTCAGCTGTTCCATGGCCAGGTGTGTGCTATTCCCTCATTATCCCAATTACAATGAGCAGATAAAAGGTCCAGAGTTCATTTCAAGTGTGCTATATGCATTCGGAATCTGTTGCTGTCAACTCTCAAGATGAGATCCAAAGAGCTGTCACTATCAGTGAAGCAAGCCATCATTAGGCTGAAAAAACAAACCCATCAGAGAGATAGCAAAAACATTAGGCGTGGCCAAAACAATGGTTTGGAACATTCTTAAAAAGAAGGAACGCACTGGTGAGCTCAGCAACACCAAAAGACCCGGAAGACTATGGAAAACAACTGTGGTGGATGACCGAAGAATTCTTTCCCTGGTGAAGAAAACACCCTTCACAACAGTTGGCCAGATCAAGAACACTCTCCAGGAGGTAGGTGTATGTGTGTCAAAGTCAACAATCAAGAGAAGACTTCACCAGAGTGAATACAGAGGGTTCACCACAAGATGTAAACCATCGGTGAGCCTCTAAAAACAGGAAGGCCAGATTAGAGTTTGCCAAACGACATCTAAAAAAGCCTTCACAGTTCTGGAACAACATCCTATGGACATATGAGACCAAAATCAACTTGTACCAGCGTGATGGGAAGTGAAGAGTATGGAGAAGGAAAGGAACTGCTCATGATCCTAAGCATACCACCTCATCAGTGAAGCATGGTGGTGGTAGTGTCATGGCGTGGGCATATATGGCTGCCAATGGAATTGGTTCTCTTGTATTTATTGATGATGTGACTGCTGACAAAAGCAGCAGGATGAATTCTGAAGTGTTTTGGGCAATATTATCTGCTCATATTCAGCCAAATGCTTCAGAACTCATTGGACGCTGCTTCACAGTGCAGATGGACAATGACCCAAAGCATACTGCAAAAGCAACCAAAGAGGTTTTTAAGGGAAAGCAGTGGAATGTTATGCAATGGCCAAGTCAATCACCTGACCTGAATTCGATTGAGCATGCATTTCACTTGCTGAAGACAAAGCTGAAGGGAAAATGCCCCAAGAACAAGCAGGAACTGAAGACAGTTGCAGTAGAGGCCTGGCAGAGCATCACCAGGGATGAAACCCAGCGTCTGGTGATGTCTATGTGTTCCAGACTTCAGGCTGAAATTGACTGCAAAGGATTTGCAACCAAGTATTAAAAAGTGAAAGTTTGATTTATGATTATTATTCTGTCCCATTACTTTTAGTCCCTTAACAAGTGGGAGGCACATATGCAAACTGTTGTAATTCCTACACCGTTCACCTGATTTGGATGTAAATATCCTCAAATTAAAGATGACAGTCTGCAGTTAAAGCACATCTTGTTTGTTTCATTTCAAATCCATTGTGGTGGTGTATAGAGCCAAAAATTTTAGAATTGTGTCGATGTCCCAATATTTATGGACCTGACTGTATTGTAGCTCACCAATCCTTACATGTGGTGGCTGCATTAGTTTTAATTTTAGGCTTTTCCCCTCTGTTTTCACCTGGTGATCTAGCCAGTAACATACAGTGGGGCAAAAAAGTATTTAGTCAGCCACCAATTGTGCAAGTTCTCCCACTTAAAAAGATGAGAGAGGCCTGTAATTGGCATCATAGGGAGACCTCAACTATGAGAGACAAAATGAGAAAAAAAATCCAGACAATCACATTGGCTGATTTAGAAAGAATTTATTTGCAAATTATGGTGGAAAATAAGTATTTGGTCACCTACAAACAAGCAAGATTTCTTACAGACCTGTACCTTCTTCAAGAGGCTCCTCTGTCCTGCACTCATTACCTGTATCAATGGCACCTGTTTGAACTTGTTATCAGTATAAAAGACACCTGTCCACAACCTCAAACAGTCACACTCCAAACTCCACTATGGTGAAGAGCAAAGAGCTGTCGAAGGACACCAGAAACAAAATTGTAGACCTGAACCAGGCTGGGAAGACTGAATCTGCAATAGGCAAGCAGCTTGGTGTGAACAAATAAACTGTGGGAGCAATAATTAGAAAATGGAAGACATACAAGACCACTGATAATCTCCCTTGATCTGGGGCTCCGCGCAAGATCTCACCCCGTGGGTTCAAAATGATCACAAGAACGGTGAGAAAAAATCCCAGGACCACACGGGGGGACCCAGTGAATGACCTGCAGAGAGCTGGCACCAATGTAACAAAGGCTACCATCAGTAACACACTACGCCGCAAGGGGCTCAGATCCTGCAGTGCCAGACGTGTCCCCCTGCTTAAGCCAGTACATGTCCGGGCCCGTCTGAAGTTTGCTAGCGAGCATTTGGATGATCCAGAAGAGGATTGGGAGAATGTCATATGGTCAGATGAAACCAAAATAGAACTGTTTGGTAGACACATAACTCGTCGTGTTTGGAGGAGAGAGAATGCTGAGTTGCATCCAAAGAACACCATACCTACTGTGAAGCATGGGGGTGGCAACATCATGCTTTGGGGCTGTTTCTCCGCAAAGGGACCAGGACGACTGATCCATGTACAGGACAGAATGAATGGGGCCATGTATCGTGAGATTTTGAGTGCAAACCTCCTTCCATCAGCAAGGGCATTGAAGATGAAACGTGGCTGGGTCTTCCAACATGACAATGATCCCAAACATACCGCCCGGGCAATGAAGGAGTGGCTTCGCAAGAAGCATTTCAAGGTCCTGGAGTGGCCTAGCCAGTCTCCAGATCTCAACCCCATAGAAAACCTTTGGAGGGAGTTGAAAGTCCGTGTCGCCCAGCGACAGCCCCAAAACATCACTGCTCTAGAGGAGATCTGCATGGAGGAATGGGCCAACATACCAGCAACAGTGTGTGCCAACCTTGTGAAGACTTACAGGAAACGTTTGACCTCTGTCATTGCCAGCAAAGGATATATAACAAAGTATTGAGATGAACTTTTGATATTGACCAAATACTTTTTTTCCACCATAATTTGCAAATAAATTCTTTCCAAATCAGCCAATGTGATTGTCTGGATTTTTTTTCTCATTTTGTCTCTCATAGTTGAGGTCTCCCTATGATGCCAATTACAGGCCTCTCTCATCTTTTTAAGTGGGAGAGCTTGCACAATTGGTGGCTGACTAAATACTTTTTTGCCCCATTGTACCTCCTGTATTAGAGTGCCCCCACACTGGATGAAGGAGCATAGGGGGCACCTTTGGACAGCAGCATTGTCAGTCTGTTGGAAGAAGAGTTTTAGATGTACTAGCAGATCTAGATACACTATCAAACTGAAGCCAAACTCCAGCTCACACTGCAGTTACACAAGCTGTTATAGCAAACAGTTTTATTCTTTTTGGATAAACGTTTGACACGAATAAACAAAGGCTGATCATTGTAAGCACCCCTGTCAGTGGTAAATGGTTTGTCTCTACACTCTAATTGCTACATTTTGTGGACAGCTTGTTCTGTTGAAAAACAACAGACTTACTGGTTGGATCACCAGATGAAAATAAATGAAGGAAAGCCTAAAAAAGAAAAAAACTAAAGCAGTCATCACATCTAAGAATGAGTAAGCTGCAAAATAATATGTTTGTTTTCTGGGTGTATTATTGTTTTAAGGTTTGTGCCATGCCAACACATACAGTAGGTGTAAAGCCATGCCTAAATATCACTCAAATCCTACAATTACAGCTGAAGTTAAAAGATTTCTTGCCATCTTTTCTTCAGTGATACTTTAAGGGTAGATTTACTAAAACTGGTGCACTTGGAATACGGTGCAGCTTTGCATGGTAGCCAGCTTCTAACTTCGGCTTGGTCAAATAAGCTTTGACAATAAAACCTGGATGCTGATTGGTTTCTAGGCAGAGCTGCACCATGCAGTTTTAGTGAATAACCCCTAGTGTCTTTTTCACAGGGCAGAACTTTCGGTGCTGAGGGCATTCCTAGCTCAGGGTCCAACAATGAAGTAAACTCAAGGAGGTCACGATAGGCCCTGTATTCAATTTTTTAATGAACACAAGGTGTTCTGATTGGATGAGGTGGAAAAGAGATGTTACCACGTCATCCAATCACAGAATGCCTCCTATTTACTGAAAAAATACATTTGCTAAATGGTGCAGGTACTGAAAGAGTGACTGAGTCCAGTGAATCAGAAGCAAATGTTACACTAGCACCCAGAATAGAACAGCACTGACTGTACAGTCTTCCAGATGTAACTTATTGATAATTACATGTAACCAAGCTGGCACACTGTACATTTATAAACAGAATGTTCCTGGAGTTCAGCTTAAATGATAACTTTTAGGACATGTTCACACCAGATCAACCAGGATTGGCACATTGGCACTGTGTCTCCCAGCACACACAATTAGCACGGCTCCCTGGTGTGAATAATCCCTTAACATTTAGGCTGGGATCACATATTTGTGTAACAGTATCACACAGTGCCCAGTTATGCTTGTGTTGGTGCTATTCACAGCACCTGTACACACAGTAATGTATTACC